ACCGTGGAGCTCGTAAAGCAAAGCAAAACCAGAAGGGAAAAGGCTTATTATGCTAATAACGGGAAAAGGAGGAACCTTATGCTTATGATGCTAGCTACCTAGCTACTACTTGCTTATTTTAACGGAATAAAACAATGATCACTTACTCAAGATAGACAACAGTTTTAGTGGTACTCCCACTTTTGTACCATACAAGTAGCTTTTTATCTAGTTGAAATGTGTCATTTGTCTGGTTAATTTCAGAATGGCAGTAACAAAATATGAATGGAGCAGCCTCTCATTAGAATCTATATCCAGGAGGAACCGAACACCTGTGCGGTCATGCCTCGCTTAAGGCCTCCTTCATCGACATGATTTTTAAAACTCAAGAACATAGTGTCATGCCATCTCCAGGATATATATTTTTTTGCGAATATATCTCCAGGATTATATCGATGTTTGATCGTGCACGGGAAGAATATAAGATTGTTCACAAGAGGTTGGGGTAGAAGTAAATATTCCTACAAAATATAGTAGTGCAAATAAATCTAAGAGAAGACCCACTGTAATCATACAAACAAATTAAACACTCCACACACAGAAAGTTCCAAGGTTTAGACCCTCTCAGATTATTTTTGGAAAAGCCCTTGAATCAAAGAGGCCATACCCTTGCTTTATTTACCTCAGCACACATCCAACTGGAGATGGCAATATGTCCAGGACAACGTACGAAGTACTTATATACTGAACAAATTAAGCAAAGTTTTTTCTTTATGCTCTCCTTATTTCTGTCTTTTGAGCGTTTGATGGAAAACCTTTAGTGTCGTCCAGTACCAGGGGAATAAGATCCGTGAACGGATTACGGATATGTACCGGCCAATGCCTGGCCACCGATCTTTCCTGTGGTTTGCCAAATGCCAAATTGCCAATTGCCGGAGGAATAATTAAAGTTGCTCTCCGCTGCGCGTAGGAGAAGGAAGGGGTATATATTTCTTGGTGCTTGCCTGCCACCTTTCCTTCATGGTGTTTGCTGAAGCACCCGTGGCCCCCATTTGATCTCACAATAATGGCAATCTTTAGGGCAGGGCCTTTTTGTGTTGTGCCAAAAGGATTCTGGCAATGTGCTAAATCTCCCCTCGCTGTCTGCCCATGATGATCCTTTTTTAATCAGTCTGTATGGATTGTATGAGCTACTGGGTGAAGTGATGTTCATATCACATGTAGCTGGGTGGTTCATACGTATGCATGAGAAAGGCTTAGTTTTGTGAGGAAGGCTTCTGTGAGACTTTTCAACTCTTTTTTTTAGAGGCCAAGCTTGCATCTTTAGTGGACATGTTGTACTGTAATTCTTGGTGAAAAACTGATCTGTGCATGCTCACCATGGAACAATTATGTGACCTAGCCATATCATAAGTTGCAACCTTTTCAGTTCAAGATAAATAAAATTCCCATTTTTAGTTTTAGGTAATTTTGAGAAATACCTAATACAACTCGTGGATGCATATGTAGCTACATACCATATACACGCACCCGCACAAAGAAACACACAGCTAATACACATCATCTACTAGGGGTTTGGATTTGCAGAGCTCGAGGACCGGTGAAGTCGATAGAAACATGTTGATACCAAGGAATACATCGTTTACCACCTTGGTGATGGAACATGAGATTGATGTTCTCGTAGGAGCAATCAGCAAACCAGAAAAGGCAGTGGGAGACAATCTTACTTACAAAATCTGTAAACAATCTTACTTAGTACAAAAAAGAGGTCCAGACGGATCACTACCGGTTAGGTTAATGTAAACAAGAATCACAGCATGCAAGACATCATTTTTCCATTAACTCAGGGCCTGGAAGCTGCCATGAATCCACGACCTCTAGTGCCGACCACCGAAGCTCCAAACCAGCTCGACGAGCCCACCATCTTTACGACAGCAAATTAAAAACGGGAGCACAGCAAGGTTGAAGACCCACTTGCTCCGCCGCTCCACCAGTGAGTCGGCGACATGCGTGACCAAAGCTTCAAATCATTCGCGGCCCTTTGCATACATAAATTTTCTAGACCACCACGTTTGTCCCCGCTCCGCTCGCATCACCCTGGCCCTGCCCCTGTGGATGGAAATGGAATGTGGCGTGGGGTGGGGGCGCGCCCGGCGGCTCACGGGCTCGTGGAGCAATCTTCCGTTGCCTTGTTCTCGTTTGGTGCCGTGCTTTGGTGACACCATCATAACGCAGGAGTGAGAATTAATTCTAAACCAGACAACCATCGTGCCCCTCGCGTCGTCCCCGCGGGCGACCCGAGGGGAAACCCTAGCCGCCGCCCCTCGCACTTCCCTCCGCCCCTCTCCCTCCTCGCCGCCGTCCGCAACGCCGCCGGGCGAAGCCTGGCCGGCTGGGCGGCGGCGGGGCTCCTTTCCCATCCATCTCGTTCTGGCTGGCGCGGGACAGTGGGGACGAGGGGAGCGCCGGGCTAACGTGGGGTTCGGCGGCGCGGCGGCGGGTCTCCCGGCGATGTCGGTGGTGGTCTGCGAGTTGCGAGGTGGTGGCTGCGTTGGTACTGCCCGGTGGTCGCGGGTGTCGCCGGATCTGGATCGGATCCATCTGGATCCTGGCTTCGGACTCCGTCGGCCGCCGCGGGGTGAGGTTGGTCGCCACTGGCAACGTCGGACTGCTGGTTTTGGCGTCTGGAGATCTACAACGGGGTCTTCTCGATCCTCCTTTCCGGTGGGTCGAGCACCATGGATCTTCCATCTTCGCAAGGTTTTGGATCGTGGCTTGTCGCCGGATCCGGAGCAGGCGGAGGATTGGTGGCATAGGATGGGGACCGGAGGAAACTTTGGTCGGCTAGGCCGGCCCGGCATCGGCGACGTCGCTCAACGCCGCTATCCTCTGTGGAGGCGAAGCCGAGGTCTCTCCTATCCACCTCCGAACATATCCCGGACGAAAGTCCAAAATTCATTCTGGATTGGGCGGCGGCGGCGACCTGCACGTCGTATCCTCCATGGAGGCGCCGTCTTGGGAGGACCAGCTGTTCGGGGGAGAGATTATGTGGATGGTGGGCTCCGAGTACCTCCAGCAGTGGCGACAGGGCAGAGGTTGCCTGGTGGTGCGGCGTTGTATCTTCCGCGTCGATGACGATGATTTTGGCGGCATGGTGCGGCTACATATCGTTCATGGATGCGGCTGGATGGACGAGCCCAGGGCGGTGGAGCTGTCTGGTGCCATGGTGGCGTCGACGGCAGCGAGACCGGGCAAGGTGTATGCAGCAGTATAGCTCTGAAGATGGATTGGTGGCAGGTGGCTGTGGCGGCCTCATACCTGGCAGGTGGCCGGGTTGAGGAGCATGCCGGACTGGTGGGTGCCCATACCCGGCAGGCGTCCAGGTTGGGACCTCAGGTCTTAGATGTTAGGTTTGGCTGCGAGGTCTGTTTGGTATTAGGCCCAGACCATCAGCGCCCCTTCATCAGTTAGATAGGAGTAGCGACAGAGGTTGCGAAGATGGTGGCTTTGGTCTTACTGTTGTACGACTTTGTAAGGTTTTGTGCTAATAATTAATAAAGTGGCCGTATGCATCGACCAGATGCAGAGGCCGGGGGTTCTCCTCCTTTTCGAAAAAAAAATCATAACGCAGGAGATTGGCCGATCGGGCCGGCGACCACCTCCCGACGCAACGACCAGTGCCCTCTCCCCGTCGTGCTCGCCCGTCACCCAACGCCCGGGCAGGCAGTGGATATGGTCTGCGTCTTGGGGGCGCTCGCAGCTGAGCCGCAGCGCAGGCGGCGGGACGGTGCTGGCGTGCTGCTGCCAATTCGGTCGATCGCATCGAAACTTCAAAAGGTCCTTCGACTAAATAACTTCGGGAGGAGGCAGCATGGGCTCCATTGGGCAGTTGCGGACTGTGATCAGGGTGGGCGTATGGCCGGGCCTTGGCCTTTGGGCAGGTGCGCCGGCTGAGCATTCGTTATGGATAAAGAGGGGTCTGCAGAGGTTTCTGGAGGAAATAGCTGGCCAACTTGTCGTGCTTAATTGCTCTACCATATCTATCCGTTTATGGGATCCAAATATTCTTTCGTGTTTCAGGTTTTTTTTAGTATATAGTGCATTTTTTGGGGCTTCGGTAGAATGTTAATGTCCTCAGTCGGTGATAACTTTTTTTGCGGGTCAGTCACTGATAACTTTGCGTCTTTGGCTATCAAGAAAAAGAAAAGATTTGCTTGCATGGCGAGCCCAGTTGATCGTGGTCGAGCGGCGAGCGCAATGAGAAGAACCGTGATCAAGCGTTGGAGCCTACGTTTCTGACCGGTTCGTTCCTTCAGAGTTTGACGACGGCAAGTGCATGCAATGTATCAACCCCTTCAACCTTCCACTTTGGCGTTGTATTCTTCTCCGGACCTGTCGTCTCAAACTGAGCAACGTAGCGGATTTTTTCCAGTTGCTGGGTCGTACCAGGACCAGGAGGTAAACACAGGTTGACTTCTCAGTAGAGACAACAACTTTGAATTGCATCTGGGCGAATGTCAATACTACTAGCTGCCCACGAGCTATCCGCTGGGTGGGGTGCTGGCAAAGTCACTCATCACACTCATACCCAGGCCAACGCCCAGAAAACAAAAGCCCATCACAAATTGGCTTTGTAAGAAATTGGGGTGGGTAAGGGATGCCAACGTGACCCAGTATCTAAATTAGCAGAAAATTGTGAAAATATGTATATTAGCATGACACTTACACTGAATATTGAAACAAGGATCATAGTCCAACATCCACTTCAGCGTTTCTTTCCCAACAGAAAATTTCTTTTTCAAGGCATTCTACACAGGTACATTAGTCCAATGTCACTCTAGGTAGATGATATGTGTCCATTTTGCTCGCAATTATCTGCTATGTTCCACTGACTACACTGGGGTCTGGGAACATACAAGCCATAACCCAAGCTTATAGCCTGAAAGATAAACTTGACAGGCTGTGGCTTGGATCAGGTCGCGGCAAGAATGGTCTTCGAGTGCAGATGAATACGACACCTTTTAACCACGCTTTACTGGCCTCTGAACATAAGATTTGTTCGGGTCTTCAGTCTTGAGCCTTGGAGGTTTGAGCTCTCCTTTCCGTGCCTGTAGAAATGAAACTATATGTAAGTCAAAAGAGTCATGGGTAACAAAATACAACTTTTCAACTGCACTCTCTAACCTTCTTTCCTGTCTTCATGAAATCCCTCCAGCTAGAGACCTGCAAACCACAAACACATGGTATCAGGCAGTGCCCGTGGCAACAACTCGACAAAGCCTTTCATTTTCCAATAGGGCAATACTTGTAGGTAACTAGTATTTAAATAGCCACAAGCATAGTGTCCAATTAGGATAAAACATTTCAATTTTCTACAAATGAACTGCAAGCTTACTCGCTGGTCTCTCGTCTCCTCCCACTTCTCTTCATGCTCTCTCTTCCTCTTCCACATTTCTTTTGTTTCCTCCTCGTCCTTCTTCAGTCTTCCTTCTTCCTCTGATATCTGCATAGTGCACATGAACAAAGCTCACGTGAGTGGCTCAACTGATGATGTTTGAATATGTTAAAGCCTATTACTTACCCTCATCTGCATTTTCCTCCTACGCCATTCTTTGTCTGTCAAAATCTCACGAACTTTAATTATTAGCTGCTTCTGAAATTCGTCCGATCTTTCAAACTGTTCTTCATACTTCCCCTGAACATAAGCAAGCCAATCAATGGAGGTTCTCAAGTGCTGAAGATATATGAAGCTCCATAATAAGATGTTTCAAGGGTCTAGCAGAACAATCACCATTTAAAAAAAATCGAGACAAGACTGAACAGGAAAACATCAGAATTGCAAGATTCTACATGATCATTGACATTAGCAAATGACTCATTTCATGGTATTGGAATCATCTTTTTTCTTCTGAAATGTTGTTATTCTCAAGTATCTAAAATCCCATCATACGCATGCAATGACTTCTAAAATAATTATCATTCCATGCAGTCAACCAAGAAAGACAAACATGCATCACAGATCTGCGTAGTTATTAGAGAAATTGAAGCAAACAACAGGTCACTTCAATGGTGTACAGAGCCAGCTAGTATATTTTGAGGACATCTTTCTCCAAGAAACTGTTTTTCACCAAATTGAAGAATAAATAAGTTCAAATCATAGAGTGCAACAGAATGAAGATCGGTTGTTTAAAAAGCTAAATTAGACCAGTGATTGAACTCGAAAGAAATCATAACCAGCAACTTCATCAATGGTTGGGTTTCATTCAAGGACCATCTACATAACCTAGGGTGTGTTTGGTTGCAGTCATGGACTGGAATGTCATGGGTCCAACTCGTTCCTAGGCCTCGTTCTCGCGTTCAGTACGCAGGTGGAACGGTCATCCCTTCATTCCCACGGACCAAATATTCGGCCCAGATCCGGAACGAGGTGAGACCTCCAAATTGAGCGGACGACGCGGAACCGCTCTTCTCCTCACACTCCCGCAGCCCTATCCTCTTGTGCCACTCCTCTCCCTCGTCTCTCTCACTCCCGCGTTGGCGCAGCGCCGCCGCCGGCCCTCCTCCGGTCTGCACCGCCCGCTGTTCTCCAAAGCACGTGAGGCGGGCGAGCGGGTGTGTGGTGGTCTTGCAGCAGGGCAACAGCAGCGGCACACACCGGGAAGCGACGGAGCAGCCGCTGGCCACGCCTGGGTGCGCGCCATCGAGAGCCGTGGTCGCGCATGTGGAACGCCAAGGCCAAGTCACACATCCAGCTGGCCGCCACGCTCAGCTGTCGTATTGTTTTCTTGTAGCTGCTGTTTATCCTGCGGTTGAGTCCGACTCTTGTAGCTCACACCCATGTTCGTTGCATGGATGGATGGATTCGATTTGTTGATGTTCACATCCCTGTTCTGTAAATTAATTTTACTGGTTCGGGGGAAAATCTGTGATAATAATCAGAATTATATATATATAGTCTGCATTTAGGAGATGCGTTTTGTTTCTTGCGTTTGTTGATCCTGATACTGGCTGTTGGTTTGAGTCTTTGTCGCTGTGAATCTTGGCTATCCGGTTCAGTTCAGCGAGGCAGACTGCAGTTGCAGGAACTGCTCCCCCAGAAAAGTTAAATGTCCAATGGCTTTATTTTACGTCAAACTTTGGCACGGAATTAACAGTATAATGTTTATCTGCCTTTAGTTGCATGGATGGATGACCACTTACAAATCCATTCCATTCCATCTATCAAACCATCAAACCAAACATCAAAATGTAACCATTCCATTCCTTCGAATTACCCATACCAAAGACAAGGACGGAACCGACCCATTATAGTGGAATGGAACCATGACATTCCATTACACTTCGTTCCCGAACCAAACACACCCCTAGTGAACCAGGCGGTTCTGGTGAAAACCCCATGAAACTGGGCATGCTTTAGAACCAGGAGGCGCTTGTTCCTGATACCTATGCCCGGTCCAATCAGCTCACATGCTCATGTGTGAATTGGGTTCCCTGAGCTAACCCTCCCAAGGCTGCCTCTACCAATCTGCATTCCATCCAATATCAGCTCCCCTTTCTCTTTGTTCTTCTACTTCCTCATCCATTTACCATTTCACCCTCTCTTGATATTTTTGCTTGCTCTTTCTCAAACAGAGCCCCGGCATAACAAGGGGCAGTTCAGCGCCACGAGGTCAATAGGCCACAGAGGTAGTGTCTTCACCATGAGAGCTCGGCGGCAATGGAATGGCTTATACATGACTTGATAAACCCCAGCAGAACTAGCTTGATTTATTAGATATTTGGATACAATGCTAGACGCTAGTTAAATGAATAATAGAATCTGGTGCCTAAATTTTGTACTGGATTAGATAATTCTAACAGAAAAACAAGCTTGTTTCTATTGGAGTTAGTTTGATTTTTGCAGGCAGCACTGGTTCCTTCATCTACAATTTTTGGTGTTATGCTTCTCTTTTCTTGAGGGGGTTGAGGTTATACTTCTCAATTTCACGCTGCTCTACATAACATTGTAGAGGAAAAAATGCGTATGACTAATAAAATATTATATCTAGAAAACTGTTGGTCAGATGGTCAAACTGCTGCCTGTCCAGTTTTTAGAGCGGTCAGCAGTCACCAATTATTACTGACAAACGCTGGTTAAGAGAATCTCTGATGAGTGTGGGGTTTGATTTCCAGATGGCTTAAGTTTATTTAGACCATGAAACTAGCCCAAATTAGACCAGTTCATGTTGAGACATACTTCAAATTACTATTCGCATTAATCTTTGTTTGAAACATGTTACTCCGAGTGAAAGTTACTAAAAAGTCGATGGCAACTCACACAATCTTTCATGGGATTGTCTTACCTCATCTACTTGGGATTTTATCTTGGATGCACTATCTTTCCTCAACTCTTTTTTCCTTTTTGCCCTCAGTTCTTCTGAAATTCTCAACACAGAATAATATCAGTTTTTGTTCTTCATATCTCCTTTATTATAAATTGAACAACTCACTGAGCTCATGTAAAAAAAAATACATTGGGTTAAAATAAGATTGCATCACACCTTTTGCAGAAGTAACTTGATCAAGAATGTACCCTCTTTCCTGTGGATCAAGTAGGAGCTGCTGTGCTTTTGCCAGGGCTGTTTATGAGTAGAGCACGCAACGTTAATCAAATATACATCAATGCATAAAAGACAAGAGAAGCAGAAGAATGCGACACTGGGAAAATAGTAAGTCACTGATGCGCAAAAGGTTTGTTAGTTACAACTAATTGCAAGAAGAGATCATGCAACACTTACTTATCCTGGTTATCCTGGTTTCTCTTGAAAAATGCATCTCCTACAGGGATGAAAAAAATGCCTAATTCTAGAGTGATACAAAGGCTACTACCATCTCCAAAAAAAAATTGCACAGATTCATCTTCTAAGCTGACTTATCCATGTCGTAAATTTGCACTCCGTTATCTGGACTTTTGGACTTGGTGTTGAGGCCAATAAATTAAAGATTGTTCCAGTTGTTTTCCTAGCATGCCATGATTCTGGTACGTCCCTCTCTCCCAGAAAAATATATATAAAGTCATACGAAACTATTAGTTTTGACATGTCATGATCTTGTTTATGCCATTCATCTTGCTCTGCCGTCACCAAATAATATCTGTAACCTGACCTAAATGAAGCCTACAACAACACAAGTGTAATACTGTCTCCTAACCTGATATTACTATGCATCACCCAACTCATATGCTCCACATGGTCATGATTAGACAGTTCACATACCTCCAAAAGCTTCTTGTGCTTGTGGATGCTTGCACTTGTCAGGATGGACCAACAGTGACAACTACAGAAGGTACATGAAGCGACAACAATTAGCCAACAGCAAGGGGGCAAAGACTAATACTAACAGTGTAGTTCAATGTTAAATCCATGTTTTCTTACCTTCCTATATTGCTTCTTCACCTCATCCACAGAAGAATCAAAAGACAACTTAAGATGCTCAAAAGGGTTTAACTTGAAGCAACCAAGTATCCTGACAAGATTAGAATGTGTTAGAAACAGAGCGTAAAATCAAGAACACGGAAATAATCTGAATGTTTTTGTTTATTTTTTTATCAACTGAATAATACGCCTGTTTGACACACATGGCATTTCGAACGTATCATTTTTTTAACATGCATGACACTGTATAATTTCAAGGTACATTTTAGAAGTTTCCTTGCAGCATAGATCTCCCTCAATAACTTATGTCTAGTCTTCCAATAGAAAAGGACTAATCTAGACGTGAAGGAGCTTTAAATAAGCTTAGATTATAGGATGATTAAATTCGGCTATTATGCTCAGCTAGATGCCTTCTAGAGACTAAAATAACTTCTAAAATCAGGAAAAAGACTAAAGGAGGAAGTACAACTAAAAATGAAGCTAAAATGGCATCGGCCAATATTCAGTTTTGCGCTGTTAGGGATCTCACTGATCAACTATCGTGTGTCATTCCAAAAAATAGAACATGCATAGCAAGTTGCAGAGTATGCCTCCCTATTCAGTAGTCAACCGACCATGTTTAATTGTTTATAATAGGTAAGTAGTTATAATATTTAACCAGCTTCAAAACATAACAGTATGTCTGCTGGGCTCCATTGAACAGCATAAGCTAATACAGGAAGACATGAGTATCTTTGGTTGGTGTCCAAAAAGAAACTCTATGAATATTTTGGTTGTGAACAAAACTTTGGCCCTTGTTTTGTTTGTATGGCTGCCAAATTTTTGGCATATGCTCATGTCACCTTGCCTATTCTGGTTCATTTTTCTTGCCAACACTGGAAAAATCATGAATAAGTAAAACCTTGACCGAAGTTGGGCTCAAACAAAGCACATCCCAAGGCACAAACATAGTGCAACAGGCTTACTCCTTCTTGAATGCAAATTTATCAGCTCGGTACAAGTAAATATATATCACAAGAGGTTCTACATATGTCGGTCATGGCATGGTGCGCACAATATCATATCAGAAACAATGATAAGAGGCTCTAGACGTCGTTTCTCATTACCTTGTGGCGTGCGTACAACCTACCATCGCATACTAAGCTACAAGAAAGCAAAGCAATCGCGTCTTAGAAGCAGCATCACCACCAAAGTAGTAAAAGTGGAAAAAATTCCCAATCGCGTCTGAGAACAAGTGAGCAAACCGGACGACTTCGACCTAGGGTTCACGCGGACCCGGGCGGACCCCGTCGCCGACCCAAATTTGAGCAGCAAGCTGCGGCTACATCTACTACATCGCGCGATTGGTCACGAATTCTGAGAAACGGATGGCGCTACTGGGGATCTGAAGCTACGTTGTGCCAGAAGGGGAATGATACCGCTCGAGGAGATGGGGGATTGGGAGGGACGGGGAGGAACCTGAGGACTTCGTTGTCGCGCTCGGCCTCGCTGACCTCGGCCAGGAAGCTCTTGAGGAGCTGGTCGTCGTCGGCCTCCGACGACCCCATGGGTGTACGGGGAGGAGGAGAGGGAGGTCGCGGCTCGGGTGGGCTCCGGCTCTGGGAGCAAGACGAGAGCCCGTTGCGTCGGAGGCACGAGACGCGAGCCGGGACAGGAACAGGGACAGAGAAGGGACGGTGCGGATTTGTTGGCCATGAGCAGCCCGGCCCGAAAATCCTGGGCCGGGCCGGGCCTAAGCGTGCCATCAGGCTGGGCTCGGGCCTGGAAATTGAGCCCGACAGGCAGATCGGGCTGGGCTCGGACTTGCGTGAAATAGGATTTTAGTCATAGCCGGGCTTGGGCCCAATTTAGTAGGCCCGACAGTCAGGTCGGGCCAGGCTCGGGCCTAAGTTTTCAACCGAGATTTTTTTGGCCCGGCCAGGCCTGAGATATGCCCAGGTATACTCTGAAGGGCGCAACCCACAGAAACTCTGGACTTGGCTCATGCCTCCTGTCCTCACCTCGGTGTGCATTTGGGCTTTATGGGCCAGATCTCAGTTCGCGAGAGATACAAAGACAAAAGTAGTCGGCTAATCATTGAAATCATTAATTAAGAAGTACTCGTTGCAAAGAACACTCCATTGTCTCAGGTCGTGACAAATGGTGCATTTGCAGCACGCCACTTGTTGCAACCTGGGAGTTTTCCCTTTTTTCGTAGATTCGTTTATTCAAAACATTTTATCTTTTAAACCGTGCGTTCAAATCTCGAAGCATTTTCATCATTGGATTCCTCGCGTCGAGATTTTCAAAACTAGATCCCATGTTAATAGGTTTTGACAAACATTTTTTCACGAAAAAACCAGACGAAAAAAATCGGGCAAAAATACTGAACCGGGAGCACGGTTTTTTCATTCCGAAAGAGGCACGCACGTGCCTCTCGCGAAATCACACTCGCGCCTCTCGTGGAAGCAAAACCGTGACTCTCATGAAAAGAAAAAACAAAAAACATGTTTTTTCCATTTTCGAGAGGCACGGCCATGACTCTCGTGAAAGCACAACCGTGCCTCTCGCAAAAGCAAAACTATGACTCTCGCGAAAGAAAAAAAGAAAACGCGTATTTTTTCCCTTTCTGAGAGGCACGACCGTGACTCTCGCGAAAGCACAACCGTGGCTCTCGCGGAAGCAAAACCGTGACTCTCGCGAAAGAAAAAAACAGAAAATGTGTTTTTTTCGTTTCCGAAAGGCACGCCGTGACTCTCGCGGAAAAAAAGCATGACTTTCACAAAAGAAAAAAACGCGTTTTTTTTCGTGAAAAAAAAATGAAATTTGTTTGATCGAAAAGCTAAGGAAGACCAGGGGAAAACCAAAACGTCGAAAAAACCAAAAAAACCATTTTAAAAGCCGAAAACGCGTGCGGAAAAATAAAATAAAAAACAAAATTCAGAGGGAGCGTTCAGAGCGCGACACGTGGCGAATGGCTGAGAGTGCACCAAGTGGCGCTGATCGTTGTGAGGCTCCCGAAGGAGCGCTCGTTAACTAGTTGCTCCCGCTAATCGCACAAGGGCGGGGTAAAGAATCAAAAAAAGGGTTTGCGGTCGCTAGGATTCGAACCTGTGATGGCGTGCTGATGTGCACCAAGGAAAAGCCGATACAACAGAAGTGCTCTTGTGGTATTTTGTTGGTAATCAGCTTAGACCGTGGCAACCTTTTCACTTCAAGATTCTGGGCAAGTTTCCGAGAAGCCATGGGAACTCATTTGTCCTTTTGCACCGCTTTTCACCCTCAGTCTCAGGGACAAGTGGAATGAGTCAACTAAATTCTCGAAGACATGCTTCGAGCTTGTGTCATTTCCTTTGGTAAGAAATGGGAGGAATCTCTCCCGTATGCTAAGTTCTCTTACAACAATAGCTATCAAGCTAGTCTGAAGATGACCCCCTTCGAAGTGTTATATGGACGAAAGTGTCAAACTCCTATGAATTGGTCAGAAACTGGGGAACGATCACTCTTCGATCCAGATATTATCTAACATGCCGAAGAAACAAGTCTGCATTATTCGCGAGAATCTGAAGACTGCTCAGTCTCATCAGAAGAGTCAGTATGACCGTCAGCACAAAGATATGGTCTATCAACATGGCAAAAAGGCTTATCTTCGAGTCACAATGATGAAAGGTGCTCACCGCTTTGGGATCAAGGGCAAGCTACTTCCTCGCTATATCGCTCCTTTCCCCATTCTCGAAAGACGTGGAAAAGTGGCATACCAATTGGAAATGTCGCCGAACATTTCTCAGGTTCACGATGTTTTCCATGTGTTACAGCTCCGCCGCTGCTTCAAGGACCCCATCCGAGCAGTGGACCACGAAATGCTTGAATTGCAACAAGACCTCTCTTATAAAGAGCATCCAGTCTGTATTATTGATCAAGCTGAACGTCGCACCCTTCAGAAGGCGATCAAATTCATTAAAGTCTAGTGGTTAAACCATTCTGAAGATGAAGCCACTTGGGAACGCGAGGATCGTATTCATGATGAATACCCCGCCTTGTTTCCGTCTACCTCCTAAATCTTAGGACGAGATTTCTTGTAGTGAAGGAGATTTATAACACTCTAATAATTAAGCTATAGTGATCCACTACTAATGGTGCCATGTCATCACCATTACTGTTGCTAAACCTCACCTTGATTCAAACATAATGCAAATTTAAATCTAAAGTAAAGTCAAATAATTAAATTTCTCAAACATGAAAACTAAAATGTTCATAATTCGGCAAATAATCCATGGATAATTATGGCGGAGAAACCAACTTTTTATGAAGTGTTTAAATTCCCTAAAGTAATTAAATAGGGGCCAAATCAATAATTTAAATGATTTTTCAATTATAAAAATTGCAAACTAATTAATTTAAATTCCAAAAATATTGTGGCAATGGGCTAAGTTATAACACTAATTTAGGTGCTCGTTTTATATTTTTATAAAATTAAATGCTATAAAAAATAAAATAAAATAGAAAAATAACAAAAACAAAAGAAACAAAAAAGTAAAGGAAAGAAAAAAACCCGTCCCCTGGGCTTTAGCCCACCCGAACTGGTCGACCCACTTACCCCCGCCTCCCCCTTCCTTTGTTCATCAAGGGGGCGTGGCCTCCGCCGATGCCCGCCACGGCCTCGGCCGTCGCCGTGGCGGCCACCCCCCGCCTATAATACCCCGACGGCCTCCACCTC